AACAAAAAAAAAATTTTAAAAATCAATAAAAAAATTGTAAATTTTGTCACCGTTAAAAAAAAAAAGAACTTGACTTTTTATTCCTATCACAGCAAATTTTGCTTAGTAAAAATCTGCTTAAATGTTGAATAACTGCAGAGGACGTTAGTCTTTTAATAATTAGTGCAAGCAATGCTGCAAAGCCTTTCAAAATTATTACAACATGTATTCAGTCGCCTAAATTGCTTGCTTGATTATGCAATTTTGTGAACGCCGCTCTTCTTTACTGCAAGCCAAAAAAAAAAAAAAAGAAAAAAAAAACCCATGAAGTTGTAATAACAAAAGTTGTTTGCATTAATAAGTTTTCTACAGCAAAAAACTTTCATTTTCCCATTGTGGCTAGAAAGCTGCGAACAGCTGAAGCGAAACTTCAAACACCCGTAATAAGCAAATTTTTGAAGCATTCGTTTTTTCTAATCGATTTGCATTCATACATTGTGCTTCATTACAACAATAGGCGTCCAAGACATTCCCCAAAGAAGAAGAATTCCTATAGAAAGAAATAAAACCTATCCTAATATAAGATCTGAATTGAGAATAGTCCTAAAAGGGAGAGCGATCCTACAGTTGAAAATTTAAAAGTACAGGAAGGATTTTTTTTTCGATAGAACATGCGCGACGGGGACACTATCGACAACCTGCTAAAAGTAAAAACAAGTGAAAAGACCATAGTCAGCCATGGCCCACCATTAAGTACTCTACTCTCCAGTTACTTATATAACGACTTTTCATAGTAAAGTGTTATTTGGAAAATGGCGGAAAAGGTCGTTCGATTTGAAAATTTTTAATAGCCTTCGTGCTTGAGCCAAAATATGTCAGTATAAAAACTTTCATCAGAATTTCTTAAAAGTTGCGACCTGAAAGCAAGATGGACAGACAAGATTAGATCAATTTAGAAAATGATATTGAATCGATCGCTGATCTAGCTTACGTCCTTCTGGGGGTTGCATAACGCACAATTTATAGTAACCTTGAACCACGAGCCGTGTAGGGTATAAAAACTATCAAGTGCAAAATAATTTCCTTATCGCTTTTTCTAAGACACGACATTATCGTATCTGTGGCTGTTTAGTTACAACTTCTTCATAGGCAGACACCATCTGTAAGTTTTATGCAATAATACAAGCCATCTCAGTGACACCATATTTGGCAGTGCCGATTAAAGCAAAGAAAACCCTCCAAACACGATAAGGGATACTCTCCACTTCATTTTCTTTCATAGTCATTTATTAAGTAACCATAAAGTTATGGGCCTATTATTTAGTTACAGAGTTGCATTTCATATGCAAAAAGAAACTGTAATATAAGTGAATATAAGTAAGTGAGCACCTCGCTTCACAAACTTCGTAACCATCAATTCTTACCAACAAAGGATTCAAAGAATTCAAAGAATCATCGAAGGATTCCATATTCAGTGGTAAGGCATGCCAATATCTAAGATATTCTTCTATACTATTCGAATAGTAAAGGATCATTGGGCTGATGAGTTAGATAAACGTGGTATTAATATTGCAAGGGTTTCTATTCGATCTAGAGAACTGCAGTCGTTCGATGAAAAAGGGTGGAAATCGAGTTTAAATGATTTTGAAGAGGTAGATAGATAAGCAAGCTGAATTTTAGATAATCGGGAATAGAGAATTTTATTATTATTATTATTAATTTCGCCAGAGAAAGAAATTCTAAGACTAAACTCTTAAAAGCACTAGCATCTAAAGGCTATCGGCTTTTATTAAAAACTCTACCGCACTTGAGATTCGAACCCACGGCCATTGACTTTTGCTAGTCGAGATTCCTCGCCTTCGGCTACTCAGGCGGATAGAGAATTTTAAAAAAGCATGCACAAAAGAGAAGATGTGGTCTCTAAGTTTGACGCTATAAACAAAACGTGTTATACAATTAACAACACTTTGAAGCCTATCGAAACTTAGATTACACCTTGGGCACCCAGAAAAGACGTGACTACAATAGTTAATAGTAATATGGTAGAATAGTATTCGCCGTGAGAAAGGAAAGCGTAATGGCATGTTCAACCTTTAGACGTGAATACAGACTTAGCTTGGGCAGTTTTCGGAACGTAAGACAAACTTTAACGGAAACATTGTCAATGCGGGAACTAACGTTGAATTCGCAATCAAGGTTTGTCCTAAAACATTACATTGAATCTACAAGACCAATGGAATAACCAGATGTTTTCTCTTACTTAATTCGACGGAAAGCGTTGTTGAATTGTAACGATTTGCTGAAAAAAGAAATTCTTGCTACGATATGGCACAAGGTTTCTCTTATTCAATATCTGCATAGTTCAAGTATAAACATTTCTTCGATAAATACATTTTTAATGTTTTTTTTATTTGTTTATAGATTGCTGCTTTATTAATACGAAATATAATAATATAAGACTAATTGGCTAAATAATAAGAATTAATTTATGACTTCGGGATTTCCTTTATCAAAATTTCAGGCAGTTCGTCCGTGCGCGTTAGTTCGTAGCGAAGAAGTGGTTGTATAACAGGTGATAAAAACTTTGGATCAAATTTAGCATCTTTTCCAGGCGGTAATATATAACTCAAAGGTATGCCGACAATAAACACTACAGAAGCACCTAAGACCATATACCAATTAAAGGAAACATTTAAAATATTAAATGACTCTTTTGGAGGCGAATCCGTTAAAAGAAGTGAAGTAAAATTCTCGAAACTAAAAATAAAAAAAAATAAAAAAAAGGAGGAGGTTACATTATGGTTCACAAATTAAATGTGAGATAAGCGTAGTTACTTTTGCATTAGATTACTGCCATTGACGCAAGATTCTGTAGAGGTGGGTAGAGGTTCATAACTTATCCCGCCCTGAGCCCCCAAGACAATTACCAGCATGGTTAGCATACTAGCTGCAACCGCACAAAAAGCAGCCTATTATAAGATCATGCAAAAGAGAAGAAATAATATCGACTGCATTTGCGCACATGAAAACTTAATTAAGAGTACTACCCGGCCGTGTGACTGAGGTATCAACATGCCCAGTAGAAAAACACCAAATACAGCACCAAATGTTACACCGGTGATTGAATAAAGCATTTGTATAATGGATGAAAACTTTTCGACAATTACACCAGCTGCTATACAGTATAGACCAGTGAACAGTACAATGGATTTCATAATGAAATTCGCCCTACTTTCCGTGTGCTTGATACGCGGTTTAATATAGTCGAAATAAACAATGCCGGCTAGAGAATTTAAACTAGCCGACAAAGTGCTTAAAGCAGCACTAAACACACAGGATATGAAAACGCCTGGCATGCCTTTCATGTAACCCACTATATCCTGTACGAAGAAAGGCATTAACTTGTCGGCTTTTTCCACAAAACCAGCCGCCACAGGATCACAGTCATGATAGCGTGCATACATAACAATACCAGTCAATGAATTCAAGAACATTATGATCGCAAAGCCGATACCAAATAGAAACAAAGATCTGTAAAAAATACAATGCAGTGCTTGGCCTGCAATGGGAAATATTTTTTACTTACCTTTGAGCGTGCTTTAATGAAGGTAATGATACAATTCTCTGCACACAACTTTGATTCATGCCTACATATGAAGTCCAGACTACAATAGCACTAGAGAAGCAATTCCAAAATGTGGAACGTGTTGTAGCATCAAAAGTAAAACTGAAAAAAAACTATTATATGAAGTCTGAGAACTGCATCTCTTTGAAAATCAATTCTCACTTTATGTCCAAGCGTTGGCCATCAGTAGCCAATCGGAAAACTTCGCTGAAGCCACCTACTTTTATAATACCCAACACAAATACTAATATAACCGATGTTAACATAACAGTACCTTGTACCACATCGGTCCATACGACAGCTTTGATGCCTCCCTGCATGAGATAATAGAAGAAATTCTGAATTCCAGCAACTTAAGACTTTTCGAATACTTACAACCATAGTGTAGAAGACGCAAATGGAACACACGATGCCATTAATAAAGTGTATATTGAAACCGGTAACTATGGAAAAAAGAATGAAGGCCTTGAAATGAATAAACATACCAGACTTTATTATTGCTACAGATAATAGCTTTGTACATTTAAGCGCGGACTGCGAAGCTACTTTTCTTATTATCTTTTTCTTCTTCTTTATAGCAGATAAAAAATACATGAAATAATTGTGTACAATTGTTCCAAGTCAAAAGATCAGCGATATAGATATGTTTAGGACGTTTGTTCGACTGTACAGAGGCTTTTGGTTTATATATCCATTACTGAAGGATGAGGGGTTCATTTGGTGAAAACATTTGAAACGCCCAGAAGGAAGCTTCAGAGATTATTGTCTGCTGTAAACATTCTCTTGTCCACAAAAACATTCTCTTGTCCATGAAGCTATCGACTCCAAATTTCGCAAATCATTGAAAGTTCTTCCGCGCAGGTTGGTATTAAAAATGGGCAAAATCTACAAAACAACACACCTAAAGTTTCAGAAAATACCGCTCATGACCGTGGTTCAACAATTATTGCACTTTGTTATGTGTTGTTGCCATTCAGTTTGTGTTCTATCGCTCGTTAGCAAATCGCCGAAAAACTCTAACGCAGTCTGAGGGAAAGGCCATCAAAATTGAATGTTTTGACAGGCTGCATCATTCTTCACCACACTAAGGTTTCCAGATCACCAGGATTCTGGCCGATTTTCTCTCAATTTCGCATGGGGTATACACTTCAATTGAAAGTGCCTTAACTACCACTAAAGGATAAGACATACCTGACCGGCAACTATCAAACGACGTCGACGACTAGGATTATCTGCGATAAGAAATCATCAATGCGGTAGACTTTAAATCTAATGCCTACATAGATATTTTTTTATTCCAACAGAATGTTCTTTTAAGAGAACGATATTGAAATCAATTAATTAACAAATAGTTTAACCTAAAAAGTTCTTATGCGGATTGCGAACTGAGGTTATTTTGTGAATGATATTTATAGAAAAAATGTATGAGCTGTAACGCAGACACGAACAATGAAGATGGCATGAAAAGCAAAAACGCTTGAAAAGGTAGTCTAAGTTTCTGGTATCTACAGAAAAACTTTGCTACTTAAAGTATAGGTTTTTTAGAGGAATCCAGCAAGAGATAATCTGCTGAAATGATTTCAATAGTTTCTATAGAGTTTTTAGGGAATGTAAACTATAAGATATTTTTGTAAATGAACTATGATTAAGAAAAAGTAAAGTTTATCCGCATTTGATCAAGAAGAAGAAGATTAATGAGTTGCAGCAAAGCCGTGGGAGATAATGACAGCGTACTTTAGCTATAAAAGAACTTTCACTTGACGGTCTAGGTCACAATGGATTTACGATAAACATTTATGCAGACATGGCATCTTAACGGTCAATGAGAAATGATCCATAGGCTAATGTTTAAGAAAGGATTTCACAAGTCTACGCAGAGATTTTCTTAGGCGGTCTAATGCAATAAAAAATTTACTGAATAAGTGAATAAATTAATCATTAGACAAAATAGTTCATAAGGTTTTCATAAGGAACGACATTTATAAGAATTAAATTTTATAAATAAATTTTTATGTTTAAGAAAGAGAAGCGGAAAAATGGTCAGTACTTCCTTGTAGACGTCATAAAGAATGACAACCACATACTCTGGCTATATTCAAAAAACTAAAAACGTCTTCGATACAGTCCAAATTTCGATCATATAGGTAATCATATCGATCAAGAGTATATATATATATAATCTTTGCAAGAAGTTCTTTTTACATTTGTGTTATAATTATTGATCGTGAACACAAGAAATAGTAAAATGTTTGTGATTATGCTGCCATTTTTTCACACTACAGCGTGTAGTTTATCTGCGTGGACTATATAATTCGCACTACATTATCTTTGAATTATAGACGTCTTTGCGTCCTTACTGTGGTACGAAGAAGGATAAAGCAGAGCACAATAATGTAAGGTATTCTTTAAAGAGGAAGAGCTGAGTTTTTCAAACTACTACGCTCTGAAGAGCCACACATTTGTCATTGTATTTTAGCAACCTTTCATAACTATCGAGGGTACATAAAGAAAAGGAAGAAAAATATTGATAACGTTTAACAGGTTCTTGATCTTAAAATGCAAAAGCTTTCGAAATCAATCATTTAAAGTTGAATCATCGTAAAGGTTGAACTGATCACTTACCCTGAGCAAAGGCCAAACTCGGTATAAACATGTACAGAGGGAGAATAAAGCAGAGATTACCCACAAAAGAAAATGTCATCAAATCGCGCGTCTTGCTATTAAAACGCATTTCCAAGTACTAGAATACAAAGTAATGCATAAATTCTTACATTCGTTTGTTGCCAATTTTTCATATAAACAAACCTCATAACAATTGGAAATGTTATTGTTGTAGAATACTGGTATCACTATATAATTTATAATCGGTATGATAATGATCATAGCAATTACATTGAAAGCCCAATTAATTCCAAAGGAGTAACTTTCGGCTGGTATGGCCATAATTGCGACGGCCGACAATTGACTGGCGACCAAAGATATGGCTATAGGTAGCGTTCGCATACGTTTACCGCCATGTAAATACTCGGCGGTAGTATTTTCACTTTTTTGCACGAAACCATAATAGACACCAATAGCCGCCGAAATGCTT